CCGTATTAATTAATTAATTAATATATATATATATATATAAACTAAAAAAACCCTAATCGTTTATTGAGTCCCGAGAGCACCTCAGTCCTCACTCCACTCCTTCTTCATCATTCAGTCCCTAGGTACTCTCTCTCTCTTCTCGATCTGGTGTGGTCTGGCCTGGTTTGATTGCGCATTCCTCTGGTGTGGTCTGATCTGGTGTGGTTTGGTCTGATCGCGATCTGGTGTGCTCTCTCTCTGCGCAACCTTGCTTTCTCACGAATTGTCTAGTCTGAGCTATAAGCTGGATCCCAACAAGGTCAAAGGTGATATTTCTGGTCTGGGTGTTCAAAATCATTTTTATTGTAAATTTTAAACCCATAGCAATGCTCTTTCTTCTTAAAGGTGATATTATATACTTGATGTGTATTTGAAGGTTTTTTGAACCTGTTATAATTTTTAATAGACAATATTATCACTTTTTGGATCTAGAAATGTTTAAGATTTCATTTACAGACTGAAGTAATTAACGAATGTGTTGAAGTTATTTTTATTATTCATGCTTCGTCATGTTTTATGAAGGTGGTTTGCTTTTGAACAAACCACACTTCCATTCAATCACCCACGAGACCCATCGCTCAATGGTACTTTGTTTTTCCGATAAGAAATTTGGAAGCCAAAGGCAGAGAACAATCTGTTGTTGTAGATTTGTTTCAAAATATATCCATCTTCATAATCAAGGAACATAGAAATTTACTTGAAAATGGTGCATGTGCCTTAGTTTTGTTTGGTTGTTTTTGTGAGGCTATGTGCCTTGGTTGTTTCTTGTAATTTCTCTATTTTATAAATAAATAATTTTTTTTCATGTTTTCTAAAAAAAAATAGCTACAAAAGTGTTTATCCGACTTCTTACCTGATTAATAGGGTAGGAAGTTGAGTAGAAATATCACACCTGATCAGATAGAGTAGGCTAAGAAAAATTTCTTCTGCAAAGTATCGGGTAAGAAAACAGAATAATATATTTTTTAACTGTAGGGTAGGGTGAACACCCCTATGTAGGAGATAGTTGCCCACATTAAAAACTTTCCTGAAAATAAAAATATTTTGATCATTTTGAAACAAAATTTAATCTTGATTATAAAGCCAGCTTTGCACAATTACAAATATACANAGACAGGAGGAGCAAAGCCTAGGCAGCCGCCCAGTCCCTCACCGCGTGCCCAGCCGCTTCCCTTCGCTGCCCAAGCCACTCCTCGCGCTGCCCATCTCCCCTTCGCTGTCCAGTCCTTCATTTACAGCCCCAAAGCTGTCCAAGACAGCATTCGAATGCTCANCTGCCCAAGCCACTCCTCGCGCTGCCCATCTCCCCTTCGCTGTCCAGTCCTTCATTTACAGCCCCAAAGCTGTCCAAGACAGCATTCAAATGCTCAAAACCAGCCTCTAAGTTCTCCAAAATGGTGACTACCTCCTCCCTTTCTTCAACCTCCACCACTCCCTCTTCAATCGACATTGTTTACTNTTCCACCAGAATAATCTCTTAGCTGCGATAAAGTAGCCTTGAGGATAAGTCACGATCTCCACAAGAATNCATAATAAATACAAAATACAGCAGAAGACAAATAATAAAGTTATTCATTCCATTGGCCTAATAAATACCAGAAGAATAAACTAAACATCATTAACATCATTACTAAATTCATGTAAAATAATAATGAAACTGTAAGGTTTATTACTCCAAACATAAGTAGCATTGTTTCCAAAACAATTAAATATTTGTTTTAAAACTATAAAAGACATTTATTCTTGAAGAATTNGAAAGAGGGAAAAAGCCCAAATAGAAAATTATGGGCCCTTTTCAAAATAAAAATGTCAAATAGAATATTATGAGTCCTCTTCAAAATAAAGTGAGAAAGACTTGAAGTTTAAAAAAAAAAAAATAATAATAATATAGTCAATGCCTCCTTCTCCAANTTTGTTTTAAAACTATAAAAGACATTTATTCTTGAAGAATTACAGTAAAGTAAATCTTCAAATCCTTTAATCCGTTATATATCTGTAGACTTACTCCTCACCTGAAAAATGTTAAATATTTACATGAGCACAATGGCCCGGCATAACAATCACCTTTAATGAGGTGTGAAAATAAATCTTTCAGTTTATATACAAAAATAAACTTGATACATACATAAGTACAACAAATTGTACCACAACCCCTCTTACATAATTACTTAAACAAAATGATCTCATGATCGCAAATAACTTTATAAATGAAATGACATTTATAACCTAAAATACCACTCATTTTCACAAATAACTTTATAAATGAAAAGACATTTATAACCCAAAACACTTACACAAACATTCAATTCCAAATACATTTGTCAAATCATGTCTGTTACCACCAGCCTGATAACTGATTCAGTCTCTTGTTACCACTAAGCCGATAACTAGCTCAATTTCTTGTCATCACTAGCCTGATGACTGGCCTTGTCTCTTGTTACCACTAGTCTGGTAACTTACTCAATCTTTTGTCATCACTAACCTGATGACTGGCTCAGTTGCTTGTTACCACTAAGACCTAGTAACCCCAATCCCTATCTTATAAACATAATTTTCACGCACACCAAAACTGTAGTTTTAATCTCAACACACACAAAATTTCTCTTTCATCACCAAAGCAATGATATAAAAATCTTCCCACAAATTTTTCAAAATTCACTTGCATAATAGTTCACAATTTTAAAATATTTAATTGCAACCCAAACAAAAAATTCACTCACACGCACCCACACATTTAATATAGAAAATCCATCCAAAAGAAGTAATAACTACTCACATTGATTCCCAAAATTCAATTCAAAGCACTATTTTCCAACTTCAATGCAATCACCACCTAATCCAAAATAACATATAACAATTAATCTCTATTCTTAACTTCGTCATTTTACGATTTTATATTTAATTTACGTCTTTCATACCCATTGATATATACTTAATATATCATTTACATATAAATATCCTTTCTAATACGAGGTAATAGGGTATCGAAGTATTCTGGGCTATTTAAAAAAAGTTTCTAAAATTTTGAGGTCAAATCATAATTTTTGAAACTTGGGGTCAAAGTGTAATTTCCTTAAAAAAATAAATTTTTCTATTTTCGGTACTATCATAAATTTTTCAGAATTCTATTCTTACAACTTATTAAGTAAAATAGTGGTTAAAATTAAGTTTAGAAGAATATAGGGGTCAAAATAAAAATCTTTAAAACTAAAGGTAAATTTTCTGTAATTTTTGAATTTAGTCTTCTTCAACCTACGGACATCCCAAGTTTCCTCCATCCATGTTGTATTTTAAGACCACCTTACAATCATACACGACGTCAGGATAACAGGTAAATAATCGATAGCAGTCTTGAGATCTGATGGCATATGGCCACGTTGATGAGCAAAAAGTGCAGGTGACGTATGATAAGCGTGGATCAGAGCTACATGGCTCGTGTGTGAGACTGGAACGAAATGCAAAAGGGATTAGAGGGGTATACATAGTGAAAATATAGTGGTTCACTGGCTCAGGAGCTCGACTAGTCCACTCTTTAATAGAGGCCCTTGCTCCCTCTCCTCTATTCACTACTCAAATATATTACAATACCGTCTCTCTCAAAGATTAGGGTTCCCCTCTTTCTATGAAGGCGTTACATAGCATTTATAGGACTATTTTCTATTCTGTAGGCTCTCGGCCTGCCATTAGTGGGACTCTTTTTGATTTTAGGAGTGAATCTTGATTGATTGAGAGTTTCATGCTTTGAACCCAATTTTTGCAGTTATCCAGTTGTTCCCTGGTCAGTTCCGCTATCATTTCCCTAGGGCAAACTCTGATCCTGGACTTCTGAGCTCCTTATATCCTATCAGACCTCCTGACCTGACCTCGTTTCCTGAGCTCTTATAACTTATTTGAGGTATCATCAAGATCAAATGAGAGAAATGAAATCTTTTCTCTCAAGTAGAACAACGGTCGAGTCTGGTTAGAGGTTTTTTTATGGTGTTTAAATTGTTTCGAGTTAGCGGTTCAAGGCTACACCCCTTTTGCTTAATTTCCTTCCCTCTCTCATCCAGTTCCTCCACTTTTGCATAAATTCCTTACCTATCTCATCCAATTCCTCGAGAATATAAAGAATTGTTTGACTTTGAATGCCGATACCCCTCCCTTTGAAAGCAAAGGTAAGTGCCACAGCTATGATTGTGCAAATGATAACTGAGAATAGTAACAGAGCAAAGCTTGATAAAAGGAATATGAGATCGAACCGATCAAGAAATGAACCATACCTTACCATTATATCAAGCCATTCATGTTTAATTTCAAGCAAAAAGGTAAGGCTACAAGTTGTAGGCTGAACAATACAGATTCCAGAAATGAAAAAGGAAAGTAATATAGCAACTGGGAAGGAAACAGAATGATTCAGACTGGAATGGAGTTGAGGGTTGTTGTATAAATGTCACAGGGATGGACTGAATCAATTCAACCCAAATTCAATTCTAAAGCAGAGATATTCAATCTTTTAGTTGAGTCAGGGAGCTGAAAATTTTCATCCCAATTTAAAATCAAACAGTGCTTGGATTAGGGATCTTACACATTTAAGACCCAACCCAAAAACTTGCAGTTCAAGTTCATCTTGAATTTGAATTATATGCAAATGCCAACAACCCCAGATTCTATCTGGAAATTGAATCCGAATTTCAACCCAAGTTGAAAATTTTGTAAACATAGACAACACTCGCGATAGAATGCAAGATCATGTTTGAATTACAAGATACAATTTAATTTTGAGTCGGAACAGTATCAATGTACTCTTGACTACAATTGTGTTTGACAGGTTGATGAAAATTGTAGCCCACCATTAAGCTCCCTTACTACCCTATCATTATAACAAACCACCAACATGCTTCTTACCAACATAAAAGAGAACAGTGATTGAAACACTCTACCAAACATGAGCACATGCACTGGAAAACAAAAATGTCATTCACACTGACAGATCAAGATTGAGAGCCAGAATGGGTGATTGAAACACTCACCAAACATAAGAAAATGCATACTGGAAATAAAATTCTCAAGTCACATTAACAGACGAAGATTGAGAAGCAGAATCCCTGATCTCGCAGTATCAGTCAAGTTTTCAGTAACTTAACCATCCACAAAAGCTTTAATCACAAAAAAAAAACCGAAAACATTCCCGAAAGGTAAACAGAATACAGAACCATAGAAATAAACAAATTCCAACTGACAAAGCTTAGTTGTAAGCAAAACTTTGTTAGCACAGAGAAAAACTCACTTCATTGAACATTACCGAATGTCTTCTCAGGTTTGGATAAGAAGATGGTTACAAAGCAGGCAAGGAGGGATTCATAAGAGTTGAGCCATGGATGCCACTGGAGAAACCCACTTCAAGTGTCTTGTTATTCTCAGCTCTTGGGCTGCTCCCAGCGCTGCTGTTGGAGAGAGATCTAAATGTGGCCTTCTGTAATACCCCAGTCGGAGATGATGCCAAGCTGGGACACTCAGTCATGAGGTTAAGAACCGATGCCTTCTTGCAGTCGCTTGCACTGTTACTTGTGCTATGCAGAACCTCTCCAAGAGGTCCACACATGGAAGTCTCACAGGAAATGGGGCCCCAATTTGGTTGCCTTTGGTTGAGGACCATACCCACCCCCAAAACCCTCTTGGTTGGTTCAAGCTCCCGTGATAATCGGAGAGGTGAAAGTGCAAGCTTTTCTTTGGTGGGAGACGAAGTAGCTGACATGAAATCTGAGGAAGCCATGGGAATTGCAATAGAGAGTTGGGTTCTGTCTGACTGCATATCAATATTAGGCCACAAAATGGCTGATCGTTCAGACTGGCTGTTAGGCCAGTCATCCATGAATTGGTGAAGTAAATTTTGTGATTTGTTCACACGCTCATTGAGGTCTTCAGATGAACCATAGTTTCTGCAGTCAGTGAGCGAAGAGCTTTTGTTCAAAGGATTGAGCAAGGAGTCAGTGGAGACAAATCCAAACTCCGCCCGAGGTTCTCCATACAGATACTGCTGTTTTGGCATGGAATATTGGTTTTCTTTTAGGCCAATGGTCGGAATAAGCATGGAGAGGCCTGTTGTATTTTGAACTCTATCACCCATATTCTCCTTGTTCATATAACTCCTGTTGGTATAATACAAACCATGGAGAGCAACAATGGTGAATCCAAATTGAACAAAGGGGATTCACAAAACAATTAAATAGGATGAAATATTCCAAATTACAGATAAGTTTAATGTCATTGTAAAAAAATCTAGAATTCTAAGCAACAATCCCTCTGGAGAGAAATGGCGGCCACCAATACCAAGCACTTTCATCTCCGCAAAGAGGACAATTTAAAAACCACCTCACAGTGAAATAAGGCAAAGTGAAACTATGCAGATAATTCAACACCAATTTAAATACTATGAATAGGCTGGAAGAACATAAATTCCAACAAGTATTAGTATCATAAGGTATCATATTATCTACCTGCTAAGATTGGGGGATGGAGAAGAATTAGGTGCAGCAGGCTGCAAGTTACTGAATTGGTGTTGGTGCGAGAGGCCGAGGCTGTTGGTTGCGCCGTTCCCGGTGACCACAGATGCCGATGAGGAGGAAGTCATTGGCATCAACTTAGTAGTTGTGGTTGTGGTTGTGGTGAGTCCGGAGACGGAATGGCCAGTTTGACCTTCCACAGGCTTTCTTGAACGATGGCGGCCTCTGTTCATGTGCCGCTCACAATACTTCTGGTCGGCAACTGCATCTCTAGAGCACCGCCATTTCTTCCCATCGGTCCGGCGACACCTTCCCGGCTCCGGATCATTGTTGTTAGAGAATCCCATATGGTAAGAACCCCATTCCCCTGGTAACAAATAACAAAGTTAACTCTTTAAATCAGGAGACATGCCATAACATGAGGAATATCGTTTCTGAACCAAAAAACTAGTGGTCAACAGTAGTTTAGTACTCTGGACGTAAAAATTTGTGTTTATGACACCATTTCTCTATTTTTAACTGAGAACTTACATATCAACAAACTCTTAACCCCAAAGTAAAAATAATTATATATGAAGGGTATAGCAGCTAAATGACCATAAATCTGTTACATGATTAGTAACAACCATTGTTTTTACTCTCCCTTTTAGAAGGAACTAAAGCTACAAACTAATCAGTGAAGCTAGAGAGAACCCCTTAAAATCCCATCCCAGAGAGAGAGAGAGAGAGAGAGTATCATACAACCTCTTTAGGTTGTTTCTGATATACATTTACGTTCAACCAAAAAGACAGCAAAGCAAATCTTGCTAGAAAGATCATAAAACTACATATTTTAAGGGTAAAAGAGCATACTTAATCACTTACAAGTATTGGGTCTAAGGCCAGAGAAGCTAGGTAAGCCAGCAGATTCAAGGGCTTTTCTTATTGGGATGAGAAGATTTGATGGGATGGGCACATTTGCAGTGATGTATTTGTAGATCAAGGCCTGGTGTTCAAGCTCCATCCATTGTGATGGGGTAAAAGGTCCTCTAACCCCGGTTAGTACCCCCTGCATGTTTGCAGCATTTAAGACTCCATAGCCATAGCCTGAAACAGAAAGATCAAAAGATTCAGGCATTTTTGACAGAGGAAAAAGGCACATCCCTAAAACCATTTCACTGCAAACTGAAAATGAAATACCTCTTTGACTACGAAGTAGACAAAATAAGTCAAAAAAAAGGGTGTTATAGGAAACCCAAAATTATAACTTGTCTGCAACATTTAAAGAGGCTACAACAATCAGGAATTTCTTGTCTTTAAAACAAATCACAGATACAAAAACCATCACAAATCAGAACCCATCAATCGAAAGATGGGTTTTTTGTTGCTAATATTATGCCTCATATTTATCTTCTTTAGTACTCAATAGTCCTCTGTGTTGTATCATTACTACAACTTATCTCCGTTTAACCAGGAAGACATGTTACAAGAAGAAAATCACCCTTTTTGACCGGACTCCATATCTGTTTACATGAAAAGACCTTCCCATCTTTTCTTGTAATCAAAAAAGCCCCAAATAGTTAATAACTAACCTCCATGCCAACCAATTAATACCAAAACTCATTCTTAAAAACTACAGCTTTATACAGGTACCCACTGACCAGATACCCATATTAGTTCCCCAAACGAGAAACCTAATAGTGAACATCACTTTCTATTCCTATTCTAATGTATCACTACACCCCCCACAGACTTGAAGCCTTGAAAATACTTTTGTACCTGTACTTCTACTATAACCACTTGATGTGTGGTGATAGTAAGGGTATGTAACAGTTTGTGAGTTGGGTGAGCAGAAGCTCAGCATCTGCTGACCATCAGAGAGTGTAGTGCTGTTAGATCTCAGCAAAGGACTTCTNATCCTCTGTGTTGTATCCTTACTACAACTTATCTCCGTTTAACCAGGAAGACATGTTACAAGAAGAAAATCACCCTTTTTGACCAGACTCCATATCTGTTTACATGAAATGACCTTCCCATCTTTTCTTGTAATCAAAAAAGCCCCAAATAGTTAATAACTAACCTCCATGCCAACCAATTAATACCAAAACTCATTCTTAAAAACTACAGCTTTATACAGGTACCCACTGACCAGATACCCATATTAGTTCCCCAAACGAGAAACCTAATAGTGAACCATCACTTTCGATTCCTATTCTAATNGAGAGAGAGAGAGAGAGAGAGTATCATACAACCTCTTTAGGTTGTTTCTGATATACATTTACGTTCAACCAAAAAGACAGCAAAGCAAATCTTGCTAGAAAGATCATAAAACTACATATTTTAAGGGTAAAAGAGCATACTTAATCACTTACAAGTATTGGGTCTAAGGCCAGAGAAGCTAGGTAAGCCAGCAGATTCAAGGGCTTTTCTTATTGGGATGAGAAGATTTGATGGGATGGGCACATTTGCAGTGATGTATTTGTAGATCAAGGCCTGGTGTTCAAGCTCCATCCATTGTGATGGGGTAAAAGGTCCTCTAACCCCGGTTAGTACCCCCTGCATGTTTGCAGCATTTAAGACTCCATAGCCATAGCCTGAAACAGAAAGATCAAAAGATTCAGGCATTTTTGACAGAGGAAAAAGGCACATCCCTAAAACCATTTCACTGCAAACTGAAAATGAAATACCTCTTTGACTACGAAGTAGACAAAATAAGTCAAAAAAAAGGGTGTTATAGGAAACCCAAAATTATAACTTGTCTGCAACATTTAAAGAGGCTACAACAATCAGGAATTTCTTGTCTTTAAAACAAATCACAGATACAAAAACCATCACAAATCAGAACCCATCAATCGAAAGATGGGTTTTTTGTTGCTAATATTATGCCTCATATTTATCTTCTTTAGTACTCAATAGTCCTCTGTGTTGTATCATTACTACAACTTATCTCCGTTTAACCAGGAAGACATGTTACAAGAAGAAAATCACCCTTTTTGACCGGACTCCATATCTGTTTACATGAAAAGACCTTCCCATCTTTTCTTGTAATCAAAAAAGCCCCAAATAGTTAATAACTAACCTCCATGCCAACCAATTAATACCAAAACTCATTCTTAAAAACTACAGCTTTATACAGGTACCCACTGACCAGATACCCATATTAGTTCCCCAAACGAGAAACCTAATAGTGAACATCACTTTCTATTCCTATTCTAATGTATCACTACACCCCCCACAGACTTGAAGCCTTGAAAATACTTTTGTACCTGTACTTCTACTATAACCACTTGATGTGTGGTGATAGTAAGGGTATGTAACAGTTTGTGAGTTGGGTGAGCAGAAGCTCAGCATCTGCTGACCATCAGAGAGTGTAGTGCTGTTAGATCTCAGCAAAGGACTTCTCTGCTCGAGCAGCATTGCCTTGGAGACTGAGAAATCATCAGTAGTTTTGGTCACTTTAAAGTCCCTCCAGTCATCTTCAGTAGTCACAGACCTTTCCTGCTTGAGACCCCCAGATCCGTACCACTTTTGCTTGGTCTCAGGATCTGAAGCAAGAGTAGAAGCAAAGCCACTGTCTGAACACACCAACCCATCTAAACCAACCATCCCAAAATCCATTCAGCGACACAAAAACACACCCCACCACCTACAAGGCCACCAGACACAGAAAATGGAGCATGGGGTCTATGTAAGAGGCTTGATACGATGGAGGGAGGGACATCATAAAGGTTGGGTATGTATGTAGGTGGTGTATATGGTTAGAAGAGCCGAAACAAGAAAACCAGAGTGGTTTCTGTTAGGAGTTGATGTAATTGATAGGTGAATAATTGGGGGCAGAGGGAGGGAGGGAGGGAGGGAGAGCGGGAGCGGGAGGCGAAGGAAAGGGAAGAGAGCTGCTTGTGACATTTGCCAAAGTTATTACTAAATACTAATACATACTAAATTACTAACAAGAATCTGTTGCTTATGATACATAATGCTATAAAACATTTTGAGAATACATATTTTTTTACTTTTTCACCTTTTTTTTTTTTTTTTCTTTTTTCCATATCTGCTGAAATTACAACGTGAAGGCACGTAAGTAAGCACCCAAGGGCATCATATCCCTTGAATGGCTCATCACCAAAAGTTATAGACGAGACTTTAGGCGGCTCAATAGTTGCAAAGTCGACATATAGAACATTATAGTCAGTGTCGAGCGCAAAAGATATCTAGAGGTGACGTATAGAACATTATAGTCAGTGTCGAGCGCAAAAGATATCTAGAGGTGACGTAAATAGTTAAAGTCTAGGGAGGCTGAGTACACCCATCAGCACCTGATATTAAAGAAGATATGACAATTTATTAAATACAGTTATAAGTGACTATAACTCATCAATTGCGCATCCAGATCCTCAAGAAGTATGAGGATAATCATCAATACAAAGCATTAATTGCAAAGGAGTCGACCTTCTGTCCTCGATGAAACTCGAGGGGTGCTTATTTTCAAGCAGTGAACGCTCAGGCATAGGTATCAAGCACCGAACAGTGATATTTAATAGTCAGAGATAAGGCCATTAAGGTTAAGTAGGTGCCGAGTAGGGTTTCGATCACCCGAATGAATCGATCTTGAAAGAATTTGATGGGACAACATTAATTACACATAGATGCGAGTGTGAGCCGTTAAATAAACAGATATGACTCAAAGATCATGCAATCATTACTAGCTAAGGTATAAATAATCATCAAAGAGATAAACAACGGTAAGCAAACAAAATTCAGAAAATACATAGTACTAATGACTCTCATGTCGATTGACTTGAGCTTCGAAAAGAATTAGTCGGTGATCACTCGACCTCTTTCTTAATTTTTTGATCGTTTCAGGTTCATCATCCTGAAAAGCACCTGTGTTATTATTTGAGAAAATTTTGGTTGCCAAATACTCTTTACAGTTTCTAGAATAAAACACTACTATTTAGTGACCAGGAATGGAGAGCCTGAGCTCACTTTGGTGGGCAAGAAAGGCCGGTAATATGTTGGCCTTGACTGGACTCAATCAATTTGTTTGAAAGAGATAATAGAATTTGAGTATCTTTTTCAAAACTTATTTGTCTTTAAATACCATTTCTAAATTTATCCACTTTTAAGTCATTTTTTTTCATCAAGTACATATTTTAAAATTTTTTCTAAAATGTATTTCANTTCTAAATTTATCCACTTTTAAGTTATTTTTTTTCATCAAGTACATATTTTAAAATTTTTTCTAAAATGTATTTCATAATTATTCCTACCATAAATAATGCATACTTAATTAACAATTTTTATATTTTCAATATCTAAATATTAGAATATGAAACTTTCAAATTTTTTTTTGATATTTGTGTATTATTTAAATTTTAAAATTATATATATATATACACGCACGCGCACACACACATATAGTAATATCAAATAGTAATACGTTCAACAGAAAAATAGTAACATCAAATAATAGTTTAGTTGCCACTCTTTACTGACACTATTTGGGCACTATCAAGGGGGCATTACTTGATGTCATTGATTATACCTCTATTGTCATTATCTCGTGTCTCTCTTTGGTGATATTATTTGAATGACAATTTTTTCGAGTTCCTTTTTAAGTACAACTCTTTTAGTGAGCAAATATATATGTTACTATATATATATTTTAAAATTCAAATGATACACAAACATCAATTTTTTTTAAAAAAATTCTCACTTTCTAATCTTGAAAATCTCATATTCAATTAAGTATGTACTATTTATGGTAGGGGTAAAAGGACATTTATGACTTTTTTTTAATAAATATATTTCTATTCCAATAATTTTAAAAAATATACTTTTATCCTATTAAGTTTTTAAGGAGGTACCGATCTTTCTAAACCCCTTATTTAAAGTACCTAGCCTACGGTCACTATTAATCGGTCATTATCGGGAAAATCATCTTACGGGTTCTAATAGAATGATTTATTTTGTTTATTTTTTTTCAGTCAAGTTTTATGTATTCACATTTTTCTAAAATTTTGGTATGCTAATGGACGAGACCGCAGACCCAAGAACACAGTACAAAACCCAACTTGCAGGATTAATGGGCTGCTTAAAGGCTAGCCGGGACGCCGATTAACCAGGTGGGTTGGTAGGCGCAAGGGCCCGCCCACGAGGCATGGTCCTATTGATGACCCTTTTTTTGGGGGTTTCATTGTTACCAAGCTTGGAGGAGAGTAGGGAGATTTTAAGAAGTAAAATCATTGACAGGATCTTTTTGCCAGGACATTGTTTGACCTTGTTGTCTGATATTCCTGCAAATTGGGGTAGGTTTGGGGGTTGCCTTGCAAAATCCGCTTGTTGTTTCAAGCCTCTCTCTCTCTCTCTCTCTCTCTCTCTCTCTCTCTCTCTCTCTCATCTTTAATCTAAAAGGCCAAAGGAGTGGTGGGCTGCATGAGCATCAAAGATGCATAGCCACGTGAGGACATCACAAATATTCTACCCTCACTCTCTCTTACCAAATGTGCAGTCAGAGAAAAGAAAAAATCATGTGTTCTGCATATATTAATATAAGTACGAACGATGCTATTAAAATTTAAAATTTTAGCCTTACTTATTAATCAAATAATGTAAAAGTTAACATGTTTCATTTTCATTGTTGTAATGACAAGTATTAAAGTTCTTCATTGTGACTAAATCGTATTCCTGTGGAGATTGTCTAAAAACTTGATTCATATTCAGAAGAATAGTCGATCAAAAATCTTAATATACTTGCAAAGAAAAAAAAAACAAAGAACAATTTGTCGAAACTGAAGATTGTAGGCGGGTGAGGGTATTTTTTTTTCTTCTTATTTTTAAGGAAAATTTAAGAATGGCAAGCTATTGTTTCTCTAATGAGCTAACTTAGCTATTGATTTGACTAAGCTTAGCTTAGTCAAAAAGAGATTGGAGTTGTAACTTGTAAAGTGATGATTCTTCAATCTTAGAGGACTTTTGGAGAGGATCAAAGACCTAAATCACCCTTTATTTAAAAGGTTTTTATAGCCTAGTTGAACATATTTAATGGTGTATGTTTGTGATCCTCGCACATGCCCTCCAATGGACACAATCATTCTCCCTTCTCTCCTATCCCAAAGGGTGTGTTTTTTTTGTTTTTCCTAGTCTGAACTATTGCTTAAGGGTATGTTTTTTTATGTTTTTCCTAGTTGGTCTAGAGTCAAAACAATTCTCTCTCTCTCTCTCTCTCTCTCACACACACACACAACACCATCTCTTGGTGCACTGCCTAGTATGTGGAAGTCTTGAACGTTATAGAAGGATAATAACACTACAAAAAATATGTTAAGGAAATTTTATTTTTTGATAATGAAATGTACAATTTTTTATACCAAATTACAACAAAATGAAATTATTACGATTGATTTAAATTTTTTTGTGTAATTTAATCTCAAAAAATAATAAATTTTAATACCGCAACTCTTTGGGTGGCGAAGTCTTAACCCATTGGTTGTTAGGAGAGCATAGGAAGAAGCAGCAGCTTCTCTTTCTCTTTCTCGATATGAAGATTGGAAACACAACTGGTCAGGGACTCGGGAGGATTGCGAGTCCTAACCCTGCACAGACATGTATGGCCGTGACCCAAAATGGTCAACCATTGAAGACTTGTTGCCCAGCAGGTTTAATACCATTTACTTGCAAAAGCCTCAGTAGGATATGGCAATAATATCAAGTCCAGTCTAGCAAAAGTACAACATTAATTCAGTACCATCCTTTCTGCTCAAGGAATTAAATTTAGATTGAATTTTAATTAATTCGAGTTTAAATTTGGTTTAAAAATTTTAATTTGATAATTTAATCGAATATTTGATTTAAATATTCAATTATAGACAAATCTTAACTAATTAAATCTTATTTTAACTTTTAGCTAATTTAAAATTAAAGTAAACATTTAAAAAAAAAATGTAAATGTATGTTAAGATTTGTCTGACGTTGAAAAATGACAAATAGGATTATTATGGTCTAAGTTACTTTTACCTTTGCGAAAGTTTTGTTTTTTTTAGGTGAATGGTTCAAGTTTTTTGGATGATTAAAACGTTTGGTAGGATGAATCGTATCTAAATCTCTAGCATGGATTCAAATTTCCGTTGTAGCGCAAGTCATGATCTAACTAGTATTTAGATTGAGAGGCCGATTTATGCACCCTGAGTTTGCCTTTGTATCTATTCAAACTCGTAAACTTAAACAATATAAACGCGTTTCTTGAGACAAGGTAAGAATTTCTCCCGATACCTAAAAAAACATTAAAAAATATATTNGATATAATTTTTATTATGAAATATTAATGAGATTTATTTATTTATTATAGTGTTGTGGACGCGTCAACATGGGTGTAGACGGTAGATGGGAACCACGTGGTTGCCCACTACGCCATGGTCCTAGCCCATTAAATGACGCAAAACAAGTGGGCATTTCCCTTGCGGGGGGTGGTGGGGGCCACACACAATAATGGAGTGAGTAATATGTAAGATTGCCGGCTTGGGGAGAGCGAGATGTGGATAGAGGGTTTCGCTTCCTCTTTGCCGACAGGGGGTGTTCTGGCCCCAACTGTCACTAAAACCTCTTTGTTTGGTTCTGTC